CTCTGGATGTGAACCTTCCTCTCCTCCACTTGCCCCTGCTGCAGCCGTCTTCTCTTCATCTGGGATGTACAGTTTACACTGAAAAAAAAAAGAAAAAAAAAAGCAAAACAAAAGGGAGAGCTATTTTCCTTCCTGGCGGGATATGCAGAACTCAGTGGGTGTGTGTATATATAAATATATATATAATATATATAAATATATATAATACTGACTTTAAAGAAAAAAAAAATCAAATCCCCACAACATACATTTTTTTTTAATCTGTGCCAAAAATGTGTTTTCAGAGAAAAAAAATCTTATTTTCATACTCAGACTTTGTATTGTCACTCATTTGTAAGTGCGCTTCATTTAAACATGCCCTCCCCTCCCTCATCTCACGCTCCGTGGAAGTGTCATACACTTGTGCAAAAGGACTTTGGACCTTCCTCCCCTCCTCCTCCTCCTCACCTCCCGTAACACTTATTAATTTATGGAATTTTTTTTTYCCYTTTTTTTTTTGGTGTGTTTTTCCTTTTTTGTTGTTGGTTTTTTTTTCTTTTTGTTTTTCTCAGCGCAGTTTTTGTTTCGTGTGTCCATTGGATTACAAACTTTATTAAAAAATACAAAACCCGTTGCGCCCGGCTGTGCTGCCTCGCTCGCGCCGCGGGCCCCGCCGCGTGCCCCTCGCTGTACCRAGATGCTCCCCGCGGCGTCGGCTCCTTCCCAAGGGAGAGAGAGAAGAAAAAAGAGAGAAATCCAGATGCTTTTATCAGAGTAAACTCTAATCTTTGTTTATTTTTGGTTGCATGGTGTAAATATTTGTCGAACAGCGAGACGGCGGTTTATTTTTAACCTGGGTGATGTCAAAGGCGCTGGTGATTTTGATACGTGTAACAAAATGTCAAAAAAGGGAGGAAAAAAAAAGGGGAAAAAAAAAAAGAAGAAGAAAAAAAGCCTTTTTTAGGCAGGGTTTTGTGTGTTCTGGAGCTGGGCGGGCATGTGGCCTTAGCGCAAATCCTGGCTCATCCCTTACATCACCGGTCCGGCTGTGCAGCCTGTGCCCGCCTGTTGGCCCAGCTGACCTCACGTCTCGTTGTACATGCAGCCGTGCCCGTGTCCGGCTGTACATGCGGCTGGCTGTGTGACCGGCTGTACGTCCAGGTGTCCGGGCATCTAGCTGTATGTGCAGCTGCCCATGGGTCTGGCTGTGTGTCATCCAACTGTGACAACACCTGAACAGCCAACTGTCCAGCTGAGTGTCCGACTGTTGGCGAGTCTGGCTCGAGGCCAGCTGTTCACAAGCCTGGTTGTGAGTCCAGCTGTCTGTCTAGCTGTACATYCAGCTGGCTTATTGTTGCCTGGTCATGGCCGACTGTCCATGAGCGTTGGTTAAATCCCACTGTCCATTTGGCTGTACATCCAACCTTCCCTGAATGAGTCCGCCCRTCCATTTGTCTAGTTCTACGTCCCACTCCGTGCATCTGACCATACATCCAAACAGCTGTGAGTCCAGCTGTGAGCGCAGCCGCCGCGGCTGGATGTGCACCTGTCCCTGTGTCCGGCTGTACCTCCACGTGTCCCCCTACACCCCCGGGCAGGGTGTTGGGCCGTGTGTGCCTGGAGGACCCACTTAAGGCCCCGACCTCCCACCCTCTCCCTGCCTGACYGAGGTGCCCAACAAGGAGCCGGGTGCCCTGGCGGGGGGGCAGAGCTGCCCCMGCTCCCATAGGAGCCCGGAAAACCAGGAGCCCCCTGCTCCCGGAGAGGGGAGATGCCAATCCCGGGGCTGGGACCTCCCCAGGGCACCGCGCGGAGCTGCTGAACAACAGAGAGGGCAGCAGGGCAGCAGTAGGTTTTAAATAAGCTTTAGAAAATAATGCAATTTATTTAATCTAGATATTACACAACTTTAGAGCAGGTTTTAGTCTTTCATTACAGAAATACACTTTGTACATCATTCCCAGGAGCTCTTTAAATAAACCGGGCGGCAAAGCAGAGGGAGGGCCAGGCGGCTCCCCGGCCGGCGGAGGGCGCAGAGGACGGAGCGGGGGGACGGGGGGGACCGCGGGTCACTCGGCGGGGGCCTCCGGCGGCGGCGGCGCCTCAGCCGGGGGCGCCGGCCCCTCGGCCGCTCCGTCGCGGGGCCGGAAGAGCAGCTCTCCCGCCTGGATCACCTGCTCGGCCGGCCAGGCGGCGGCGGCTCCGTATTGCTGGTAAAAGTCCGTGTCGGCCTGGAACATGACGAGGGCCTGGGCCGTGTGGATGCGCACGTGCTGGGCCAGGCTGTTGGCGTCCAGGAACTTGTCCCCGCACGAGTCGCAGGCRTAGAGGATCTGCGTGTTGGGGTCTGCAAGGCACGGGGAGGCCGGGCAGCCGCGGGGGCAGCGCGGGCACCGCGGGGGCTCTGCTCGCCCAGCCYGGCCTCTCACCTGCTTCTTGCACCTGCTTCACGGCCTTGGTGATCTCGGCTTTAAGTGCTTCGGTCTCGTCTGCTGTCACAGCGGCTGCCACAGGGACCACTGCAGGGAGGAAGAGGAGGGAACAGGGAAGCACCGGCCATGCGTTTGAGGGGGAACATTGGCAAGGGGAGCAGGAGGGTTTCAAGATGTGACGGGGATACGGGGCAGGACAGGAGCTGGCCCCGCATGGTGCCACTAGGTCCCATCGTCCCCCAACCCAGGCAGGGCCCCCTGCGCCGCCAGGCTCCTCCCCGGGGAGGGCAGGGGCCGCCCGGTGCTCACCCGTGAGCTGCGTGACGGCAGTGGTGGCCAGCGCCTCGGTGGCCAGCGTCACCATGTCCTCCGAGGCCACCGTGACGATGTTGACCTCGTCGCCCTCCTCGGGCTCCAGGATCTTGATGCCGGCCTTGCCCTGGTGCACCGTCTTCACGTGCGAGCGCAGGTTGTCCACGCGGTTGAAGCCCCGGCCGCACTTGTCACACAGGAAGGGCTTCTCCCCTGGCGCGGCAGAGGCAGCGGTCAGCGGCGGCGACGGGGCGGCCGCGGCGCGGGGCGGCAGCCCGGACCCACCGGTGTGGATGATGATGTGCTTGGAGAGGTCGCCCACGTTGACGAAGGCCTTGTTGCAGACCGTGCACTTGTGCGGGCGGATGTTGTCGTGGTGGCGGATGTGGTTGGCCAGCTGGCTCGACTGCACGAACCTGCCGGCGGGGACGGCGGCACGGCTGGTAACGGCACCCCCGGAGCGCCCAGCGCCCAGGAAGGCCCAAGAGGAGCGGGCGCCGTGGGGAGGTGCCGCGGGGACACTCACCGCTTGCCGCAGCGCTCGCACACGTAGGGCTTCTCGCCYGTGTGCTGGCGCACGTGGGCGATGAGGGAGCTGGCCTGCGTGAAGGCCTTGCCGCACAGGCGGCACTGGCACGGCTTCTCGCCTGGGGAGGGAGCAGGGCGCTGAGCCGGGCGGTGCCGTGGGGAGACCCCGGAGCCCCCGGGCCGCTCGCCTACCCGTGTGGATGCGGACGTGGCGCTGCAGCGCGCCGGGGTCGGCGAACTGCCGCTGGCAGTGCACGCACACGTAGGGCTTCTCGCCGCTGTGGATCCGCAGGTGCCGCTTGAGGTTGCCTGCGGGCGGCCGCGCTTGAGCGGGGCCGGCGCTGCCCTCCCCAAGCGCCGCTCGCCGGCCCCATCTCGCCCCCAAGCGAGGCCCAAGGCCCCCTTGGAACGGGCTGCCCAGGGAGGCTGTGGAGGCTCCTTCTCTGGAGATCTCCCAAACCCGCCTGGGTGCGACCGGGTGCCCCGTGCTCTGGGTGTCCCCGCTGGCCTGGCTGGTCCCTAGAGGTCCCTGCCAACCCCAACCACGCTGGGGTTCTGTGAAGCACCTGCAGCGAGCGGCTCGGCCAGGGCACAGCCAGAACAAGCAGGCAGCTTGTGGGGCAACCACCGCGTTCCCACTGCAGCCTCGAGTCCTGAAAGCTCTTCCTCCACCTGGGCACCCGCGCAGGCACCCCGGACACCCCGGGGCTGGGGCTCCCGCCTTGCCACCCACCACGGGCTACCTGAGGTTGTGAACTGCTTGCCGCACTCGCGGCACTTGAGGGGYCCGTCCGCGATGTGGATCTTCAGGTGCGCCTTCAGGTTTCCCACCTGGGGACAGACASAAGGGGACAGGGAGGGCTCCCCTAACCAGCCCCGCGGCAGCAGCGCCGGCGCTCGCAGCGCCTCCGCACTCACCTGGTTGAACTTCTTGTCGCAGTGGGGACACTTGTGCTCCTTGTCCGTGTCGTGGGTCTCCAGGTGCCGCATTTTGGAGGTGGGGTCGGAGAAGGAGCGCCCGCAGTAGTCGCACTGATAGGGCTTCTCCCCGCTGTGCACCAGCTGGTGCCGCTTGAGGTTGCCGGAGGTGGTGAAGAGCTTGCCGCAGTCGTCGCAGCGGTACTTGGCCTCGCCCGTGTGCCGCTTCTTGTGCAGGTTCAGCAGGCTGATGAGGCGGTAGCTCTTCCCGCACTCCTCGCACCCGTAGGGCTTCAGTGGGCTGCGGGACACGGCGCGTCCAGCACAGGGGGACAGCCCCAGGTGGGAAGCGCTGCACCGAGCTCTTCCTCCCTGCTGCTGCCCCCCAGCTCCCCAATTCCCGCTCTGTGCCCGGCCCCRGGCAGAGCTTTGAGGATGTCTGGAAGCACCACCGTGCAGGGGAACCCAGGCCAAGCAGCCCAAGAGGTGCAGAGCTCAGCCGCTTACGGACCTCTTGCTAAAGCCCCCAGCCCCGGGGCAGCATCACGGGCCTCACCTGTGYGTCTTCTCGTGCGCTTTGCACGCGGCCGGGTCCGAGAAGGCCTTGTTGCACTCGCGGCACGAGAAGGGCTTCTCGCCCGTGTGGATGCGGATGTGCCGCTTGAAGTTGCCCGTGTGCGTGAACTCCTTCCCGCAGTCCTGGGGGCGCAGGGAGGGCCGYGTGTGCCCCGTGCCCACGCCGCGCGGGCGCCCGCGGGGCCGCGCCGGCCTCACCTCGCACTTGTGCGTGACGGAGCCGTAGGCCTTGGACTCGGTGCGGTCGCTGTAGGTCCCGGAGCGCAGCAGGCGGCTTTCCCCCGACGTCTCCTGCCCAGAGTCYGTGCTCCCCGACTCGTTATCCTCAGCGTTGTCGCCGTTTTCTAACCGGGGCTGCTCTTCCTCGGCGCCCTTAGCTTCCTCTTCCTCCTCCGCTGTCGTCTCCTCTTCCTCCTCCTTGCCTTCCAACCCTGTGTCTGCATTTAGAAAGTACGGATGCCAAAAATGAGAAGCAGCATCAGAGACGCAACCCCTATGTGTTTTCCCTAGTCCTGAGCACAGGTTTAAGGCGAYGGGGGTTAAACCTGTGGCGGTTAAACTGTCGCAGCGCCCGCCTTGGCTCCCGCAGCGCTGCATTGAGCGCAGAGCCCACGCGCTGAGGGCTCTGGGCAAAGTGGGTGCCAGGGTGGCCCCCAACACACCTGGGGGGGCCGCGTGCCGGGTGTTGCTGCCCTGGGCCGCCGCGTCGCCGCTCTCGGCCGCCGGCGCCGGCCGGGAAACCTCAGCGGGCGGCTCCTCGCAGGCGGCGTCACCCGAACCTGCCACGGAGGGAGCGTCTGGGGAGGAAACGGGATGGGCACCGGGCTCTGCGGAGCCCCATGGGGCACCGGGCAGCGAGGGAGGGTCCTGTGCGCCCGCCGCTCACCTGCGGCACCCGCTGCGGGCGCTCCGGGCTCCGCGGGTCGCTCCGGGGCGCCCGGCGCCGCCTCCCCCTTCCCCTCGTGCTCGGCGCCCGGTGCTGCCGCTCGGGCTTCAGCCGCCGCCTTGTCGGCGCCTGCAGGGAAGGGCAGAGCGAGGGGCGGCGCTGGCGGGGCCCGGGCCGGGGGCCGGAGCGGCCGAGGGCAGGAGCGGCCGCGGGCTACGCACCGGCAGGCGCCTCCCGGCTCGGCGCGGCGCCGTCCGGCCGCCCCGCCAGCGCCTTGAGCGCGTTGCAGGCGCTGACGACCTCCTGCATCTGCAGGAAGCCGGCCACGGCCAGCACGTCCTCCACGTTGTCGGGGCTGAGGCTCAGCCTGGCCGTGTACATGAACTCCAGCACCTGGCCCAGGCCTGCAGGGGACAGCGCTCGGGCAGGAGCCGCCCCCGGCGGACGCCCCGCGGCGCCGTTCGCCTTTTGGGGGGCCCCTGTCCCCTCCGTACCCGCCGCGTTGCTGATGTCCAGGTGCACCACGTCCTTCTGGTCCACGAAGAGCATCCTGAAGTAGTCGCTGCAGGCGGCCAGCACCGCCTTGTGCGCCTTGAAGTCGATGCCGTCCACCACGAAGGTGCAGTCGCAGAGCAGGCCCAGCTGCCGCTGCTGGTTCAGCTGCTCCAGGACTTGCCTGCTGTGCTGGGGGAAATCCATGGCTGCGGGGAGAGCAGAGCCGGGGCTGGCGCCGGCAACTCGCCGCGTCCCGGCATTCCCGTCCCTGCCTCCCCCGCGGCCACCTGGAAATGGGGGCACCTCCGAGGGGACACCCGCAACCTGCCCCAAACGCCACCCCTGGACAGCCAGGAGAAACAAAACCCAAAAATAATCGGTATTTGCAGCAGCACAGAGCGACTCCGGCTGCACGGAACGAGGTGGGCAAGCAAGGACCCTGCAGCGGCAGGAACGGGAGGCTCTGGCGCGCAGGGCGGGATATGGAAGCGGGAGGAGGCCAAAGGGGACGGGAAGGGGACGCAGTGGCGGTCGCTGCGGCGGTTGGGGAGGTTTTCCCCGGAGCGCCGGCCTTTCCGTGGCCACGCAGCGGCACGAGAAGCGCCCCGAGCGCCGGCAACGCCGCGGCCGCGTCTTCCGGCTGCGGCTGCTCCGCTCCAGGCTGCTCGGGGGCCGAGATTCCGATCTGGGGGCTCTCTCTGCGCACCTCGCTCCGCTCTGTCCTCAGGCCATCCCCACAGCGCCGTCAGCTCCGCTCCCGCCCATCCCGAGGGCCTGCGCTGAGCAAAAAGGAACAAAATCCCGCGGAGATTCGGCGGGCGCAGCCGGATCCCGCGGGATGCCGGCACCTGCGTCCCGCCCGTGCGGAGCGGAGCGGGACCACGGCGAGGGGGGTTCCTTATTCCCAGGCTGCGCGCCTCATTCCGCACGATCCAGCTGGGAGCGCAGAGCCGGGGTCCCGCTCCCGCATCCCGGTGCTTCGCAGCCCGCGGCCGCGCCGACGGTTCCCGGCAGCCGCTCGCAGCGCCGGGACCCCCGCGGCACTTCCCGGGACACCGGCAAGGCCCTGGCGCGGGAAGGGCGGCA